TTACGTACTGACAAGTAACACGAATTCTTGTCGAGTCTTTTTTGTAACACTATTTCCAGACTGCAACAGGGCATTTTGATTTGGACCATATAAACTAACTATCCAAACCTTTTCAGCAATCATATATGAACCATGCGTCCAACGATGGGGATCACCCTGGTCATTTTGTCCCTATTGTCAGACCCAGGTTCAAACGTGCAGGGCTCACATCACTAGTTGAGTATCCACTGTGCCACCGTGCTTTCGATTCAAAATTTCATGCATATGCATCAGCCCAAACCGTTAAGTGATCATTCTGAATGAATTACGAAAGGATACATAAATGCCTTCTGTCCTGTTATCTGCAAATATCCGTTGTTAAATTTCCTCTTCGGTAGTTGGACTATCAATGCATCTTTATCATCTAATTTGGACATTATCATTTCCATACTCATCGTAATCATCGTCATTCTCATTATTGTCCTCATCCTCCGCTTTCTGATGTGAAGTAACAGACCTCTAAAATATTCATGCCATTTTTAAACCGATGTCGTCGATATGCCATCCTAAAAAGACACTTATAGATCATCATATTTGACTATTTACTATATTAATATTATTGTCTTTCGCTTGTATCATATCTGTGGCATTGGGTACATTAAGCAGTCTGATTATTCTCTCACAACGAAGCATGTCTCTCAGTTTAAGTCTCACAAGACTCCAAAGTTACTTTCATACTGCCAGAAGCACAACGTATAGTGTCAGTAAGGATATCAACAGCATGATCAACTAACAAACCTGTTAAACTGTCAGACACGGCGCTGACATTTGCACTAACGATATTCCGACCTATCCAATTTTGCGAAGCATTATATGCCAATGAAACCTACACTTTAAGTGGAGTGATTTCACGCTGTTGAAAACAGTCCACAGTAATCACATCTTCCTCTGAGAAAGTAAAGCTGTAACTCGCTTGGTATACCGTGAACTCACGGTGACATTTGCGGACACACTCTGGCATTTCCAAACTCACATGACACAACCGACCCGGTCACTGACTGACTATACCGCCGCCAAGTTAACATGTCGAAGCTGGAGAGGGTCCGGTCGGAGATAGCTAGCTATGACTACATCAGGTTCGCTATTTCTGACATCAATGGAACATGTCGTGGTCAGGTAGTTCCAAGCCGCAACGCTGTTAAGTATTTGGAAGGAGGAGCTGACATGTATGAAGGTGAGATGTACATGATTTCTGTGTATGAAGGATGTCATCTTTCAACACGTGTGCCTACACATTGAAAGATGACAACGAATCTTCGATACAGAAAACCCCTTCACACATGAGAGACATCTTCAGTTTTTAACACAGGTATTTAGTACAGTACGTCAACTGAATGTGTCCGTAGATGATAATGATCTATGATGTACTAAGTAACTGCTTTAAATGTAACACCCAACACCCACATGAAATGTTCACACACGAGCATTGAGCTGAGATGAAGTGATATGGGTTATACTGTCGCGTTCATTACTATTCCACCTGTATAATGGCGTGTGTGTGTGTGCGTGCACATGTGTGTGCTTTGTGTGTGTGCTTTGTATGTGCTCTGTGTGTGTGTGTGTGTGTGTGTGTGTGTGTGTGCGTGCGCGCGTGCTCGTGTTTTTCGAGACTAATGAAGGATTTATAGTTCTTGGTATGTTTCGTTACGACGTATCCATTCACTACAACGACCCTCTGTAACGTGCCAATGTCCTCAAGTTTTGTGTTCTCGGAGCTTGCACAACGTATGACGTTCCTGCCTGTGCCTGTCTGTGTGGAAGGGACGACTGATCAGAATACGTGCCCTCAGATCAGCAGCCGGCAGTTTCTTGATGATGGTTCTGGGTGAGAGTCGGACTCCCATTGTCCATTGCGGGCGTAGTTCTTCGACAAGGGCTATTGGATTGCCTCACAGTGGGGCTCGGTTATTGGTCTTTGTCTTCCAGGTATTGAACGACCCTTTGCTTCACCGACGGCTACGAGCTTCCTCACGTGTAGACTAATAAACGTTTGTAAATGTTCCAGTTACCACAGATGTTGTGACATGAATTTATTAAGTCATGCTTGCCAGTAATTTACAGTCGTGTCTTTTTTCTGTAAGTCAACGTCTTGCCATGTCAAGAACTTTCTTTTTTTTTACTATTGTCGTCTTTGAAATCAGTTCTGAAAATTGTAGTGCACATGCTGCAATTTTGAAATATATATCCCATTATGCAAGGCAACTTTGAAGCACGGGAGCATGCGACCCATAGCGTTTGAGATATTGTGTGAAGGACGTGCCTTGTATGTGCATTCCAGTATGCTGGGGTATATCTGGACCAAACATTTCAAAATTGCCCTTGGATTCAGGCGGTGCTTAATAAATGCTTATGTGAATCCATATACTGCTCTTTAAAGTTTATGATTTAAGAGTGATTTCAATTATTGATAAGTTAAATCTGCTCATATTAACTGAAAACTTGTTGTTTCGTAAAAGGTGTTTTCAGAGCTCAATCTGGGCAGTTATAGGTCGTTCTTTATGCTTGACTGGCCAGCATTGTTCTAATTATTTACATTGAACGATCAAGAACTGAAGCATTGATAACATAGGGAATAATGTGACATCAAATAGGAGTTATGAGTATCTACAGATAAGACTTTGAACTCCTGACATCATTTGACATAGTTTACCTCGGCGAGATGGCTGTTGGTACTTTTCTTTGCAAGATGTGGAGAAATGTGTGTTATCTCATACCGTCACGCGTTTGGATATTGAATATCAACCAACAAAATCTATTTTCTGTGTAGTATACATGTACCCAAAAGATTGGAGACATCCTTAACTTAAAAACTAAAAGTGAATTCGTTCTCTTTACACAACACCCTTCTTTTCAACGTTTAACATGCAATTTAGCCTACAAATATCAAAATATGTCTTAACATGTACAAATGTCTTAATATTTTCATGTTAAGCAGCGTTGATTCATATCATATTGTCTTGGAAACTATGTTACAGGAATCGAATGTCCGAGGTACATTTGTTGGTCAAAGGTTTCGTGATATTTTATCTTTATTTTATGCTGATGATCTGTGTATGTTTGATCATAGTGTGATTGGTCTAAAGAGGAAAATTGATGTATTGGAGCAGTTTAGAATCAAATGGGGTTTGGATGTCAATTTTGATAAAACTGAAATTATAGTTTTTAGAAATGGTGGCAAATTAAGGTTTTCTGAAAAATGGATGTCTGGCAATAAAACTATTAAGACATCGACCTATTATAATTATCTTGGGTTAACGTGTTCTAACAGATTATGTTGGTCAAAGGGTATTGAAGTTCTTGTTCAAAAAGCATCAAAAGCCCTAGTTTCCGTTAAACAATTACAATGTAAGTTTCAGAATATTTCTTCTTTAGTTTTATTCAAGATATTTGATGCTCAGATTAAGCCAATCTTACTCTATTCTAGTGAAGAGTGGGGTCATTCAAAAAATTGAATACATCGAGCGTTATCATGTTAAGTTTTGTAAATATGTTATTGGCGTAGGTAGTTATGTCTCTAATGTTGCTGCACTTGGTGAATGTGGTAGATACGGCTTATTTGTTAATTGTCATAAAAGATGTATTCAGTATTGGTTAAAGTTGCTATCAATGCCTAATCATAGATATCCTAAGCAAAGCTATCTTCTTTGTAAATCTTTAGACGACTGTAATAGTGTTACATGGGCTTCAAAGGTTAAAATGTTACTTTTCTCTTATGGTTATGGATTTGTTTGGATCTCTCAGGAAGTTGTTAATTGTTTTCTTTATTTCTTACTAAGTTTGTGCAAAGAGTTAAAGATTGCCACCAGCAAGATTGGTTTTCTAAAGTTTGTGAATCAAATAAGTTGTTTCCATCAAGAATATAAATCTCTATTGGCAGTTGAATATTAGTTATCCTCTCTTAAGGATCGCGAATATAGAAGGCTTTTATTTTTGCTAAGATCCGGGGGAATTGCCTTTAATGATAAATGTTGGTAGACGCCGCGGTATTGTTCGCGTATGTATGAATGGATGTATAGAAAGATGAATACCATTTTCTGTTAATATGTAAAGTTTATTCCATTTTAAGACAAAAGTATATTCCTGAAAAATTCTGGAAACATCCTTCTATTTATAAATTTAATGTGTTATTAAGTTGTGATAAAGTGAATGTCCTAATTAACTTAGCAAAATTTATAAAAGGGGCTTTAAGGTTAAAAAGTGCTTAAAAGGTGTGTCTAACCATTTTGTCACTATCGTTATTATTTTGTGAGTTTTTGTACTTGGGCCAATGACCTTTATACGGAATAAAAGTTTGATATTGTATTGTGCCAAGTCACCGTCAAGCTTGATACTCAAGTTGTTCTTAAGCTACATCCTTGCACACATCAATAGTTTGACGTGAACAATGGCCACCGGTACGTTAACCAATTCCTGTATATGGTATCATCACTGTTTGATAGTGCTTTATAAACCCGTACTGATGATATGTTAATAATCTTTCATCGGGCTCTGCTTCTTGCAGAGATTTCTTAGGAAGGTTGAAAGGTTTTTTTGACTTTCATTTATTGGGTATGATCTACTCGATTATTTAAAAAAACTAATATCTATTGGTCGAGTTTGGTAGATCTGATAGTTGGTACGTCTGATAGTAATGGCATGCCCGAAATGGTTTAAATGATTTACCAGTGAAGATCCGGGTTAGAATTGATCTTCAGTAACCCATGCTTGTCGTAAGAGGCGTCTAACTGGATAGGGTGATCAGGCTCGCTGACTTGGTTGACACATGTCATCGTTGCTTAGATCGATGTCCATGATGTTGATCACTGGATTGTCTAGTCCAGACTCGATTAGTTACACACCGTCGCCATATAACTAGAATATTGCTGAGCGCGGCGTAAAACTAAACTCACACTCACATTGTAAATGATTTCCCAAACCGGAGAGACGCTCAACAACTGTGAATCATATACCTCTTGTTTCAGGTGCGCTGATGCTCAGCCTTGAAAGCGAAATGGCTATTATACCCCATGAGAAATGTTATCACTATGGAAACATGACCCTTGTGCCAGATCTTGATACTCTTAGGCCGATTCCATGGGGAGGTGATGGCAAGGCCAAGGTCGCTGAAATTTCGTGTGAATGCCGCTGGAAGATCGACAACTCTCCTCAGGAAGCTTGCCCCAGGTATGTTCTTAGGCAACAGATCCAACGCCTAGATGAACTCGGTCTAGATTTATACTCTGGGTTTGAAATAGAATATTTTCTGTTCTATGCTGATACAATGAAACCAGTGTTCAGTGGAAAGGATTTCATGAGCCACAGAATTCAAAACCAAACTGGGCCACTTTTGTTCAAGTTTGACGGAGAATTGTTCAAAGCAGGCATTGATGTGGACAAAATCCATTCTGAATATGCGCCAGGAATGTTTGAAGCTGTGATGAAACCGCAATATGGTATAGAAGGAGCAGATGCAACGTTCAATCTGAAACAAGGCTTGTTGGAGTTGGCTGATTTGAATGGTCTGAAGGCCACTTTTATGTCCAAGCTAGATCTGGAACAAACTGGATGCGGGGCCCATTTTAACTTTTCATTGGTGTCCAAAGACACCCGGGAAAATGCCTTCTATGATCAAAAGGAGAGTGATAGTTTATCAACAACTGCCAAACAGTGGATAGCTGGGATCCTGAAACACAGCAGGGCGTTGACTGCGTTAACTTCGCCCACAATCAACTGCTACAGGAGACTTCACCAGCCTTGGGCTCCAGGAAGTATCTTCTGGGGTATTGAAGACCGTGAGGCCTCTCTTCGTGTCAAGAATCACGGACCTTCAGGAACCTACCTGGAGAACAGGATGCCAAGCGGAAGAAGCAACCCTTACATTGTCATGGCGGCCACAATTGCTGCCGGCTTGGACGGGGTCAAGAACAAGCTAGTATGTCCACCAAGTGCGAGTTTGAAGGAAGGCGAACCTCTTCCCTTTACCCTCGATGAAGCTTTAAAGGATCTACAAGCTGATAGAGACCTGGTGAAAACACTGGGAGAGGAGTTTGTTAGTTGGTTTGTCAAGTGCAAAGAATTAGATTTGAAGCGGTTTGCCGGACTTGCGGATGACAAGGAGAGAATGGCCCTGGAAAAGAAAATCTACTTCTGAACCTTTCGGTGGGGAATGTGTGTCTCCAAAAGCATAACTTGATATTTAGGACACATCTACAGAGTTCTCCTATACACACTCTGTACACAAGGCCTATATAAAAATAACCTAATGATATTATAATAGACACTAACAGTGTGAAAATGAGAAAAAGTAAACGTTTGTTTTGGGGAAAATTGAGCTGTAATGTTAGTCTGGTTAATATATACTGAGGGAAACAAATAAGGGATCACATGAAAGAACAAGTGTTCCTTTATTTTTTTCCAGGTGTCTTCACAAGCTTTGTATCATATATAGCTTGTGAAGACACCTGGAAAAAATAAGGGAACACTTGTGCTTTCATGTGATCCCTTATTTTATTCCCTCAGTATATATATATTTATATGTGTATATTTGAAATTTACTTTTCACAAGTTCTGTGTATCTTTGCAAATAAGTCAGTCAGAAAGAACTGAACACAGATGCTATTGTCAATATAGTGACGATTATGTAATAACAAAGGACAATAAAATAACTAGAATATCATAGGTTTGATTAAAAACCTGTGTGCAATCACTATACCCAGTCGCAGTACATGATAAGAAGATCACCAGCAACTGAAGGCAAATCACCAGCAACTGAAGGCAGATCACCATGCCAGGGACAGAATCTTTGCTCACTGTAGGAGCCGAACAGGTTTCATGCATTCAGGTGTTGGTGATTCTGGATAAATTTGAGGAACACATATTCTACGATTAAAACCGCGGCACTACGAAACAACGACTTTTAATGACATGTTCTAACATACTCCCTCCATCAGTTTTGCAATTGCTATCCATCACAATACCACCACTAACAAAATCAGCTATCAAATTTATCTACACATTTTTCATTCGTTATCTATATTATACAGGAATACGACAATTCTAGTTATAGACAATTAAATGAATGCTAACATATTTTTAACATTCTTTAGCGGGGATGATTTGAAACATTTACCCCATATGAGATAAAATTCAACACATTCCTAATTATTTCATCACAATAGGGGATCAAAACCTTTAAAAATGCTCATGTTTATATTTCGAATGGTCAATACTACATTAACTCTTCAAATTTCTAAATATCGCTTTGTAAATATCATATTGTGCTCTTAATGATATTTTTGCATACAATATCACTATCATATATCATGATTATGATCAAGAGCAGAATGGAGATCATAGATAGACAATATTTCATTCTACCATGAATCAAGAAAATACTAGATTCTGATTGGTTGTTCAGAAAAATCAGACGGCATCAATTGTCGATTGACGCTCATCTGATTGTAAGGCCGCTTCACCGCGCATTGACAAATCTTATTGTGAGAACTACTTCCGTTTGACCACAATGATGGCGGATCATAACAACAGCTCCGTGGATTTTGACGCTGACTTTCGAATATTCCACATAGGCAATTGGAAATTTTTGGATTATAAATGCGTTTGATTTCATTGCGCTTCACTGCGCACGTATAGAACACTGCCGCACTACTTCAGCTTGACCACCAACATGACTAATATCAACACAACAGACGTGATGGAAATGCTGATAAAACATTTATTTAAACTCGAAAAATACAATTATATGATTCCCCCCCCCACACACACACACAATTATGAGGGAACCTCACTATCATATTACCTTCTATTATAAAAATATTCAAACTCAATTACAATACACAGCCCCAAACATAAACAAAACAATATCTAACATATAAATCAGAAAGCCTTGTAAAAATACATCCCCATCTATACCAAATATGCAGCAAAACATTAGTAAACATTTACCTACCTGGTAAATGGTATATTTAATTCCGTTTAGAATGGGAAATTTGCAAGATAGATCTAAGGGTCTGGCGAAACACCACATTTATGCCACTCATAGTCATACTCCACCATATCCCGTTGCATCCTTCAAAAAATAATTCTGCTCTCTGCCAGCTTCCCCGCAAGGTTGTCACTGTTATGTTCATCTACTTTGAAAAACGCTTGGACACAGTCCAGTCCCAAACGATAAAAACAAAGTTCCAAGGAATCACAAGTTAGTCGCATGTACACTAAGCAGCAGCACTGTCACTCTTTTTTCGCATGCCGGGGTGGAGGCAGTACGTGAAATCATGATCGGTCGGTCATAAAAATCAACAGTCTTTGATGAGTTACAGGTCGTAGGTTGATCAGGAAAGGATTTATTCTTCGATTCTGCAGGGTTCAGATTCGACAGTCAGTCAAGTATTGTCAACTGTCACTTCAAATTTTAACCTTTCGCAAAATGTAAACACTGGCTCGTCCGCCATTTCAAACTGTTGCGTAACTGTCTACTTCGAAGAAAATAAGTAGGTCAGACGATTCCATTATAGTGTGGCCAGGGGGGTACAGTTTCACGGCACACAAAACAATAGGCTGGTTTTAGTCGTGTGGAGTTGGGATGAAAAAAAAACAAGATCTCGGGTATTACATAATTGCATTAAATAAACAGTAGTTGGATTTCTTTGGACAGAATATTGTTATGTTGTAATGTTAAAAAAATACGAACGGCACCTACCGCTCCCTTCACAGACGAGTTCAATTCGCCTCTCGCCCCATGCCGGATTACGCAGTGTCTTCCGCAGAGCGGGGAAGTTCGATTTTAAATGGGTCATGGTAGAATGGAGATAACCCTAGTGTGTTTGAAAATCAGAGATTTAGTCGCCATCAATTCAGTAAAGCATGTCTCTGATTTTCAAACACACTAGGTTTATCTCCTAGTTATCATTCTCTGCGATAGGGGGAAAGTAAATATCTGCCTTGATGGATATGACAAAAATAATAGTACATTTGTAGAGCGCCTATTAGCTCCACCTCAAAGATGCTCAGTGGCGGTTTTCCAAGGTTGAAAGGGGTTATAACATTGTGATGTACAGTACAACGACGGGTGACTCCGACAGTTCTACTTATATAGTAACATAAAGTTGAGGTTTTTGGAGGGACTTGAAAGAATCCTTGAAAAAGGTATTTCTGAGTTCGTCAGATAGTAAGTTCCAAAGGGAAGGTCAGAGGATCTTTTTTGTGATTCCAGTTGCACTGGTAGGGTATCACTGAAGAATCGGAGTGGGTTTGATCGCTGACTGTGTGTGACGATTAGTTGCCTTACTCTGCGTGTGTCAGTTCGAATCCCAGATGGGACTCAACTCAGAAAAGTACTAGAATCTTCACTTTACTGAGAAAGTGTGATCCCAAAGATAACATATGTTGCACTGGACCACATTCTAAAACGCACTGTGTATTGGCTGAGGGGTGTAGAAAGAGATAAGGTCCTTGAGATAAAGGGGAAAGTTTTTATTGCGGAAGTAGTCATGGATTTGGATGAAAATCTTGTTGATGGTGACTGAAGAACTGGAGTCATGTGATCATACTGGGAGTCACGGAATATCTGATAGCTGAATTTTTAATTTTCTGAAGGTTTTGAAGGAACTTGGTGATGAGGCTTTCATACAGTAGCCCACTTGGGAGGTAAATAGGCACTACATTATCATCTTGCAGTCTGGATCGCAGGGAAGCGGCGTCGTAGAATGATCCGAATCATCACATACCAAACCAGTTAAAATGTCAAGATGACCTCATCAAAAAGTATGTGTACTATTTGCAGTCCCGTTTACAAGACAGAAATTATACGCTTTTTGCATTAACGAAGACCTAGTTATTTCTAATCAAATGGCTTCAATCAAGTCCTGCTCTTCATTCTTCTGTTTTAACTTGTGCCATTATTATCCCGAGGTTTTTCAGGTGAATTATTGACATGACTTTGTAAGTGTTTGTGACGTGTAGCATCTGTTCGGCCACTGTTTCACGAAATCATTTTATCATCACTGCTAAAGAGTGATTCATAGAAACATATTCATGATTATGGACTCTACTATTCGTCATGGTTTGGTGCATTTTTGCATAAAATCAAGCGACTCCAAATGTTAGTAACGGGATATACTGGTAACACTTGGTGATTGCACTTGTTTCTTTTTGTACAAATTTGATACCTTACTCAAATTGCTGTTTGTTACCTCGAAAGCTTGAAAATAGGTAAATAGTGGGTTTTAATAATTTCATATCATTAATGTCGTTGTTGGATAGTCGTGATCATTATAGCATTAAGTTAATTCATTAATATGATGGTGACATTCTGTAAGATCCTATAGAAATGCCACAACTCCTTTTTAGCGTCATCTGGTAACAGTACTGTAGGAGCTGAGTGTATGCCAATGAATGTGAGCAACTTGTGGTGACAGTACTTGGTATCAGAGAAGATGTTCAACGGTAGTTTAGGTATTGCAAATGGAACATGTTTTTTTAAAACTAACTATGTCGAACATCCACGACGTCTAATGACCATTCTGTTTCAAAATACACTGACATACACTCCTCCAGATTACCATCTTCTTCTGTCAGGTGCTCGTTATGTCCAGGAATGCTACATGCACGCTATGTAAATAGAAGAAACAAAACGCTTTTCACAGAGTTATCACTTCCGACTCTATCAAGAATATGTGTTTATGAATCAATATTGTTATGTGGCAGTTTGTATCATTGTGATTCAATGTTTCATGTGAAATCATACACTGTACTTGTTGACATCCAGTAGGGTCAGTGGTGTGCTCTATATTCAGACCTGTGACAGACAGAATTCTAGAACGTACTACAACCCTCCACTGATGCAGAGAACATTAAAGAAAGATCTGGTTGCTTTTATGTGGCTATACTTATGGAAACAAATAAGGGAACACATCAAAGTACAAGTGTTCCTTTATTCTTTTCCAGGTTTCTTCACAAGGTATGTATTGCACTGTGGGCGAAATTCTGGAAATAAATATAGGAACACTTGTACTTTCATGTGTTCCCTTATTCGTTTCCAGAAGTATATAAGCAGAGCTAGCTCTATCTTCTCATCTCACAGAACATCGGAAGTTACAAGAAAACCAGCATTGTATGTGCATGTGGTTTAATGTTTGATACTCTGCCTTTCATTTAAGTTCGAGTTATTGTTAAGGGTGAATATAACCATCATTTCCTGTATTGCTAAAACCACTGCTCTTGTTAAAAATTCTCTTTGATGTTGTACTGTAATAGTTCCTTTTGTACTGATTTGTGAACATTTAATTAAGAATAAATTGATAGTTACATCGCCTTTCTTTGTTGTTTGATGGCTTCACAATTCTTTCACTACGTATTCTCAGTTAACGTTTCAGTTTCAACCTGGGGACCAATACATTACACTATCAAATAGCATGATAAAATGTCCTTTTGAAAGAATGTATCTTCCTACA